ATTTTGTATTATAGAATCAAAATAGACTAAAATGTTTTTATGAATTTATATTCAGAATTCTTATGTGTTTTGCTTATAGAATCAAATAATTTGTTTTTATAATTGCTTCCAACTGCAAGGGGGTAAACAATTTTCCTTCTACTCTCCTATGTTCTTGGCTTTAGACTCCCTCCCTTGTAATAAACGGCATATTAACAGGAGAAAAACAAACAGCAGTTTAATAGCATGTATACCTCTTTTGTACTTGGGAGATACTCGGGAAAAACTGAGTAACTCTCCCAAATGGCCCAAGTCACCACCTTAAATACCATCTCCACCGAAAGACAGAAAACAAGATGTTGGGGAGGGGCGGAGGCCAGTTAAGGGACGTGACTAGGAAAAGCACAGTAAACAAGAGTGTAGTTGTTATACAGATTTAAGACCAAGCCTTCTCCATTGATAAGAGCTCTAGAGATTTAGTCATCCTCCTCTTCCTGGTATGGAGGGAGACACCCTTACAAATGTAGAATTTTCTTATAAATGTAAATTTCCCTCACAAAAGTCACCTTCTACTGTTTTCAGAGATTCTCCTGTGTCTGAGCCTTAAAAAATAATCAGCTTCAAATGATCAATATGCCAAAGAGACATATTTGGGGATGGCATATTTTACTCCCCTTCATAACCCTTTTATGATAATATTCAAAGGTTTTTATTTGTTAACAATATTCTGCAAAAGACATATTATTACTTTATGTAATATTTGTTCCAAATAAACGATAAGGGCAAATGATTACATTTATCCCTAAATTTTCTTTTTTATGCATTATTCTTTGAAATACTTATGATATCCTGAGCTTCTACACACACTAACAGTTTTATTGAGGCATAATTTGCATGCCACAAAATATACTCATTGTGTGTGTTCAATTCAGTGATTTTTTAAATAAATGTATAGAATTGTGCAAACTCCCCACACAATCTCCCCCCTTCTAAATCCAATTTTAGAAAATTTCATCAGCCTCCAAACTTTCCTTAAGTCCATTTGCAGTCCAATGGCCAGCCTTGGATAACCACTGATATGTTTTTTGTCTCTATAGTACATAAGCTTTAATGTTAGTAACTTTTACATCTGGTTGAAATCATACTGAGGTAAATATATATAATTATTATAATATTTATGCTTTTATTCAACAAATATTTACTAAGTACCTATTCAATAATTAATATAGTAGTAGATGTGCTTTATATCTATCATGGTGTAAATAGTTGAAAGAAGGAAGTATGAGTTGAAATGGAATTGGAAAGTTCATAAGTTAAGGAGAACAAAGTAGATATAAGCTCTCTAGATCATGGAATCTTTATTATGGATGTAAATTAAATGATACGTAACTTAAAACATAAATAATATAAATTGGTAAAATGGTCAAAAATCATCACAATATCTATTGAACTGAGTGACTGAGACATGAACATGCTCATCAGATATCTACCAACTGTTATATGTATTAGCACAATATGCTATCAGATGTTCCTAAGTAACTCCATTTCATGGGGAATAGTTAAACTATTTCTTTAATTTGTGACTTATAAAACAGAAAAAGCAACATATACCCAAATAATTTAATGACTGCTCTACAAAAACATTCTGTGGTACTTTTAGCTTTCTTTAACATTTTGACCCTTACTAGTATATTTTTTAGTCCTATTAGTCCTATTTAGCACTATTCACTAGTTGATTGATTCAAGAGACAGGTTTTTTCTGATATTACTGTGTGTCAGGCACCATTCTAGATGCTGGAAAATCAGTATTGAACACAAATACAAATACAAATACAGAATCCATGCTACTCTGAAGCTTATGTTTTATATATATATATATATATATATATAGAGAGAGAGAGAGAGAGAGAGAGAGAGAGAGGCAATAATAAATTGAAAATTTAAAGGAATACATGAAGATAAATAAAGCAGGATAAGGAAACAGAGAGTGATGGGAGATGGGAAGGTGACTTATTTAGGTAGGTTGGCCAAGGAAATTATTTCTGAGATGATAACATTTGAGCAAAACCTGAATGAAATGGGGGGTAAGATATGGAGGCAATGTCTGGAAGAAGAGCAAACCAAGGCAAAACAATTGATACAGAGGCCCTAAAGCAAAAACCTACTTGCTAAATTTAAGGTATAGCAGGAGGCCAGTGTGGCTAGCACTGAGATAGGAGGAGAGTATTGGATGTGAAATCAGAAAAGAAGCCAGGGATGAGATCAAGTGTGCCTTGTAGACCAGACCAAGAAATTAGATTTTATTCTGAGTGACATGAGAAACCACTGAAGTGTTTGGAGTAGAAGACTGAAATGATCTAATTTACATTTTAAAAGGTTCACTCTAACTTTTGTGGGGAGAATTGACAGCTGGGGAGAAAGGGGTAGGGGCAGAAGCCAAGAGACTAGTTAGAAAATTAGTGCTTGATGATGATTTTAGACTGGGTGGTACAAGTGGAGGTGGTAAGAAGTGGCTGGATACTGGATAATGTGTATTTTGAATATAAGGCCAACAGGATTTGGTGATATGTACCAAGTATGTATGTATGATGTATGTAAGTATGTATGATGTGGGTTGTAAAGAAAAGTCTGGTTGACACGAAGAATTTTGTCCTAAGCAACAAGATGGATGAAGTTACCATTAACTGGGATGGAAAATTCTTTCGGCCAAGCTGGTTAGGGGATGTTAAGAATCAAGAGTTCAGTTTGGGACATGGTTTATTTGAGTTGTCTGTTATACATCTAAATGGAGATGTTGAGCAGGAAATTAGATTGAGTCTGGAATTCATGGTAGAGATCAAGGCTGGAGATTTAATTTTAGGAGTTTTCTGTATAGAGATGGTATTTTAAAGCCATGTGCCAGAATGAGATCATCCAAGACATGAATGTAAATAGAAGAGGAGAGAAGAGGTCTCGGGATTTAAACTTGGAAAACTACAATGTTTAGAGGTCTGTGAGATGAGAAAGATTCAACAAAGGGGATTAAAAAAAACAGCCATGAAAAAAAAACAAAACAAAACAGCCATGAAGGGTGACAGAGAATAAATAATGGTCTTCTTTCAGCTAAGTGAAGAAAATAAATCTCCATATATAATCACTGTTATACAACAGGGATGATGGGTAAAAATAACTACCATAAACTGTTACTAATATTAAAAAATTGAGGTTTCCCAGGATTTACCAACCTGTGGGTGCAAATTAGATCAAGATAATATTAGTACTGTTAAAAAACAAAATTCAACTGAGTAAATTTTTAAAGATCTTATTGGCTTCATTCAACAATTCATGAATCAAGCAGCATCCCAAATAGCAAATAGAAATGATTTCCAAAGAGCTGAACAAAATGGGAGACTTTTATAGGCAGGGGGAGAGGAAGCAAGGAAAGAGCAGATTACCTCATCCTTCTTTGGGGGTTGGAAGGGTTCTATCAGGTGGATTACCTCACTACTGCTGACCCGAAAACTCCAGATGGACTAATTTAAGATTTCATTCCTTAAATTCCTGGGAGAGGTTGAAATTGCAATTAGGTTAGGTATTAAGCCTTGGTTTGCTGACATGGGGATTAGAACAAATGACTCCATTTTGAGCCTGTTGTCTCTTTTTTAAACAGTTCTCCCCTTTTGCTCAGACTCTCAGCGTAACTGAAAGATTTGATCAAAATTTAAAGTATTAGCAACCTTCCCAGCTATGGCTCTGAAGTTCTCACAGTTTTTGTTGATCTCTGTGTGGTATTCATAAGTCATGACTTCAGGCTCACAGTCTTTGAGCCAATCATTTTCTTTATTTCTTTTCTGGTGTTCCAGTCATAGGGAGATTATTTGCTTAGTGGTTAGTGGCTGTGAACATGTATTTAAACCTTTTGAGAGAATACATGTGCTAGGGAGACTACTACGATTATTATTAGCAGGATAATTCCCAATGTTTGGAGTGCATTTTGGAGTCGCTGTCACCAAGACCCAGATGAATCAAAATCAAGTAAGTCAGAGAAAGCTTGAAGGAGTCACCTTTTTAAGCCAAATTGCTTGTTCAGTGATTTTTTTTTTGAATTTTTGATTTTTATTTTATTTATGGTTTTATACAGCAGGTTCTTATTAACTATCTATTTTATACATATTAGTGTATATATGTCAATCCCAATCTCCCAATTCATCCCACCACCACTACCCCCTTGTTCAGTGATCTTATGTAGCTGAGTTTCAACTTTCCCAGAAGTGTTAATCCAGGTGCAGCAGGAGGTGCTGGCCACAGCATAGACACCACTTAGCTCAACTAAGAGATAATCAAGGGCTATCCTATTATCAAGAACTTTGGCCAGAAAGTCTAAGGATTTTAGCTGGACAGCTATTGTCTTAGTAGTGGATTCTGCAATATTTTTAAGAACTAAGGAGACGTTCCTGATCATCTTCTTATTCATATTTTCTCCTAACTAGGGAAGTAGGGCCCTGCCAAAGGAAGCAAATTCTAAGTCATGAACATCTCCTGGTAGGTCCATTCTAACTCATTGATGTAAATTCAGGGGAGTTGATCGATGAGGTGTCTCAGCTCATTTGCAAACAGTTAGGGACACAGTTAGATAACCCAAGAGATATTACCTTGTTATATGCCAGCCATCTAGGTATCCATATACCCAAGGACACAGATGAAGATAAATCCTATCTTATCTTTTGTGAAGGGCACAGACCACTTTAGTAAGGTGGCACTGCTAATGGATTCATTCTCAGGGACTGTTGCATTTGCCTATTCAAGCCAAGGGTCAGTTAAGTGGGAAGGAAATCTCCTAGCCTGAAAAAAAGTTGTTCTGAATTCCAGTTTACCCTGCTTAGGAATGGAAGTATGGATGATGGCATTATCTTTCCAGGACAGTGCTTGAGTAAAGGGAAAGAAGAAGAAGGAGGAGGAGGAGGAGGAGGAGGAGAACAAGAAGTGGTCTTATGTGTAAAGTATGAAGTCTTAATCCAGTGTCTTGGGATCAAGCAATCTACCTTGATGTAGGTGACTTCTCTTCTTAGTCAATTTGATTTTGAGTTCTCCAGCTGGTGTACAGAACCAGATGTCAGGTGGAGACTTCTTCAGCTGTGAGATGTATATCTAATGTTCAAGTCCCTGAAGTTTGGATGCCATCTGGATGGTGAGGAGTTTCTGTTATAGTTCCTTTGGAGGATACTCAAGGGAAATCTTTGTTCTTAGTGATTCCAAATCAGAAGGGTGAGAGAAAATTGGAAATGTTAGTTTGGAGAGCTGTTGCCAGTTATTTGAGGGAACTAGAATTCAGGATACAGTTCAGTTTACAATTATATAACACAACCTCAAAGATAACTAACAGGTCTAGAATGTAATATCTACAAAGGTGTAAACATGAGATTTTTCTTTATGATTTTAACCAAAGGTAATCACAGTAAAACTAATTTGTTTGCATTAAACTCGGTCTGATTATGTACATAAGTGCAGCAAAAATAGTGATTGACCATATAAAATCTTTTTAAGACCACTTTGCTGGACCTTTTCATAAGAAATCTCAGATTGAAATCTTAAAGACCTCTGAGGCCAAGCCAAGAATTCACTATTGGATTTTACCTGCAATATATATAGTTTGGGTGAATTCCTTTCTTCTCAAGTCCCCCCCAAATATCTTGAGGTTCCTGGGCCTGCCAGGCAGTAACCTTCCTTACTCACCTGGAGGCTGCTGGGAATCCTATAATCAAGGTACAGGGATGATTTTTCCAAGTAGTTCTTTAAAGCTGTCTGATCATATCGGGGTCTATACACATCTCTCTCAGCCATAAGATTTGATATTTTAGCCAATGTTTCCAATTGTGTCCTATGACAAGGAGAACAGATTCTTATTGAACTTATGCAAGTAATTAACTACATTTCCATTAAAAAAAATGCTCAAGAGTTTCCAAATTATGGAGGGATAAGGTAGAAGAAAAAGTAAATGTTTCATCTTTGTTTACAAATGTATACTTTAACAAATTGCTGTAAGTCATCAATCGCTTAAGAGAAAAGGTTTCTTTACATCTGGAAAAAAAAAGCTATAAGGAAGCAGTACTGTTTCAAACAAAAAATCACAAAAAATTATAATCATCTTCTTCAGGTCATTCACTGCCATGTAATTAATACTTGTTCTGCTTGAATCCATTTCATTTTTATGACCTTAGAGTTATCAGAACCTATACTTACGAAAGTTTTTCCCATGAATCTCCCTGAAGACGAAGTACTTTTGTAGGAACAGTTTTACAAAAGCAACTAGGACAATAAAACTCTCTGTAAATGACAATGCTTCCCATGTAATTTAACATATCAAATAAACCTAATTAGTTTAACATCTCTCTTTTTAAAGGAGAGAGAACAAATAGTTTGAGATGTTCTAGGGGCCCTGTGGGGAATCTCAAAGTTGATTCAAAGTCAAAAAGAGTTTGTTTAGAATTTGATTTTTGTCAAAAACATCAAAATTTGTCAAAAACATCAAAAGATTCAAAACCACTTGGTCAAATAGGATCATACTTCACAGTGAAACAATACTTATTTATCCATTTAACCAAAGTAAAAATCAAAGACTTCACAGACAAATGCAAAGTTAAATAGTTGTTATTGGAAATTATTTTGGTAAAACACATAAGCTTTGATTTCTAGGAAGAATACCTAAAAGAGAAACTTTTACAATCCGTTATAAAAAAAAGACCAAAGCTGAGTAAAACTTTGTCCTTTTAACAGAGAGAAAACCAAATTCTAATTTTGTACCAGCTTACTTTTGATATTAAAATTTATTTAACTTCACTGAGTTCATTCTAATCTTAACCAAGTTGAACGTGCATAAAATTTCTTTCTCTAGATTCCTTTTCCACAAAACGTTTTTTGTTCTATGTTTTTCCTTTTTCCGATTCTGAAATACCCAGTATTACTTTAGGACAAAATTGCTTTCTTTTTTTCTCAAGAAAAATGCATCTCCATTCTTTATAGCTTTTCTCTTATCATAAATAAAACCTTAATTTTTAGTAGAAATAAGGAAGTAAACTATTGTGAACTGTGTTTTTTATTAACATTCTGCGACTTGACAAATTTATAAATGCTTTTTATAATTTCTAGAAACATATGAATTCTAATAATACATTTTTCAGTGTGGGACAAAATTATTTATTAGTAGACCCAAGTATCTTTAGTTCCTCTGTAAAAGTGGATGAACCTATGTTCAGTAATGAATGTTTCAGTATTTTACCTTAATTGAAAATGACCTAGATATTTCATGATTATTCATCATTTATTTTAACTTTGCATAATTTTAAGGTTTCATGTTACAGAAGAATTGGGGAAATTATTTCTAAAATTTACCTAAAATTTTTTATCCTGCTCATATCTATTTAATTTACTTGCTCACAACAATTATGTTTAGATTATTTATGAAAATTTCATCATACCAAGTCATTTTTCTTTCTTTTTTTTTCTTATGTTTATTGGAGTATAATTGATTTACAATGTTGTGTTAGATTCTACTGTATAACAAAGTGAATCAGCTATATGTATACATATATCCCCATATACCCTCCCTGTTGAGCCTCCCTCCCACCCTCCCTATCCCACCCCTCTAGGTGGTCACAAAGCACCAAGGTGATCTCCCTGTGCTATGCAGCTGCTTCCCACTAGCTATCTATTTTACATTTGGTAGTGTAAATATGTCAATACTACTCTCTCACTTCGTCCCAGCTTCCCTTTACCCACCCCCTGTGTCCTCAAGTCCACTCTCTATGGCTGCATCTTTATTCCTGTCCTGCCCCTAGGTTCATCAGAACCATTTTTTTTTTTACATTCCATATATATGTGTTAGTATATGGTATTTGTTTTTCTCTTTCTGATTTACTTCACTCTATGACAGACTCTAGGTTCATCCACCTCACTACAGATAATTCCATTTCATTTCTTTTTATGGCTGAGTAATATTCCATTGTATATATGTGCCACATTTTTATCCATTCATCTGTCGATGGATACTTAGGTTTTCTCCATGTCCTGGCTATTGTAAACAGTGCTGCAATGAACATTGTAGTACATGTCTCTTTTTGAATTATGGATTTCTCAGGGTATATGCCCAGTATTGGGATTGCTTGGTTATATGGTAGTTCTATTCTTAGTTTTAAAATGAACCTCCATACTGTTTTCCATAGTAGCTGTATCAATTTACATTCCCACCAACAGGGCAAGAGGGTTCTCTTTTCTCCACACCCACTCCAGCATTTGTTTGCAGATTTTTTGATGATGGCCATTATGACTTGTATAAGATGAAACCTCATTGTGGTTTTGATTTGCATTTCTCTAATGATTAGTGATGTTGAGCATCCTTTCATGTGTTTGCTGGCAATCTCTCTATATTTTTTGGCGAAATGTCTATTTAGGTCTTTCACCCATTTTTGGATTGGGTTGTTTGTGTTTTTGATATTGAGCTGCATATATACGTTGGAGATTAATCCTTTGTCAGTTGCTTCATTTGGAAATATTTTCTCCCATTCTGAAGGTTGTCTTTTCGTGTTGTTTATGGTTTCCTTTGCTGTGCAAAAGTTTTAAGTTTAATTAGGTCTCATTTGTTTATTTTTGTTTTTATTTCCATTACTCTAGGGGGTGGGTCAAAAAGGATCTTGCTGTGATTAACGTCATAGAGTTTTCTGCCTATGTTTTCCTCTAAGTGTTTTAAAGTGTCAGGCCTTACATTTACGTCATTTTATTAATATAAATTAATTAATTAATAATTAATTAATTAGTTAATTTTGGCTGCTTTGATTCTGTTGCTGCATGTGGGTTTTCTCTACTTGGAGTGAGCGGGAGCTACTCTTCATTGCGGTGTGTGGGTTTCTCACTGCACTGGCTTCTCTTGTTGTGGAGCATGGGCTCTAGGCATGCAGGCTCCTTAGTTGTGGCACATTGGTTTACTTGCCCCACAGCACGTGGGATATTCGTGGGCCAGGGCTCGAAACCATGTCCCCTGCATCGGCAGGCAGATTCTTAACCACTGCATCACCAGGGAAGTCCCTACATCTAGTTCTTTAATCCATTTTGAGTTTATATTTGTGTATGGTGTTAGGAAGTTCTAATTTCATTCTTTTATATGTGGCTGTCCAGTTTTTTCCCAGCACAACTATTGAAGAGGCTTTGCTGCATTGTACATACTTGCCTCCTTTGTCAAAGATAAGTTGACCATATGTGTGTGGGTTTACCTCTGGGCTTTCTATCCTGTTCCATTAATCTATATTTCTGTTTTTGTGTCAGTACCACAATGTGTTGATCACTGTAGCTTTGTAGTATAGTCTGAAGTCAGGGAGCCTGATTCCTCCAGCTCCATTTTCCTTTCTCAAGATTGCTTTTGCTATTCGGGATATTTGTGTTTCCATACAAATTGAACAATTTTTTGTTCTAGTTCTGTGAAAAATGCCATTGGTAGATTGATAAGGATTGCATTGAATCTGTGGATTGCTTTGGGTAGTATAGCCACTTTCACAATGTTGATTCTTCTAATCCAAGCACATGGTATATATCTCCAACTGTTTGTATTGTCTTTGATTTCTTTCATCAGTGTCTTATAGTTTTCTGCATACAGTTCTTTTGCCTCCTTAGGTAGGTTTATTCCTAGGTATTTTATTATTTTTGTTGCAATGGTAAATGGGATTGTTTCCTTAATTTCTCTTTCAGATTTTTCATCATTAGTATATAGGAAAGCAAGAGACTTCTGTGCATTGATTTTGTATCCTGCTACTTTACCAAATTCACTGATTAGCTCTAGTAGTTTTCTGGTAGCATCTTTAGGATTCTCTATGTATAGTATCATGTCATGCTCAAACAGTGACAGTTTTACTTCTTCTTTTCCAACTTGGATTCCTTTTATTTCTTCTTCTCTGATTGCCATGCCTAAAACTTTGAAAACTGTGTTGAATAATAATGATGAGAGTGGGTACGCTTGTCTTGTTCCTGATCTTAGAGGAAATGGGTTCGTTTTTCACCATTGAGAATGATGTTAGCTGTGGGTTTGTCATATATGGCCTTTATTATATTGAAGCAGGTTCCCTCTATGCCCACTTTCTGGAAAGTTTTTGTCATAAATGGGTGTTAAATTTTGTTGAAAGCTTTTCCTGCATCTACTGAGATTATCATATGGGTTTATTCCTTCAGCTTGTTAATATGGTGTATCACATTGATTGATTTGCATATATTGAAGAAGCTTTGCATTCCTGGGGTAAACCCCACTTGATCATGGTGTATGATCCTTTTAATGTGCTGTTGGATTCTGTTTGATAGTATTTTTTTGAAAATTTTTGCATCTGTTCATCAGTGATATTGGCCTGTGATCTTCTTTTTTTGTGACATCTTTGTCTGGTTTTGGTATCAGGGTGATGGTGGCCTCATAGAATGAGTTGGGGAGTGTTCCTCTTTTTGTTATATTTCGGAAGAGTTTGATAAGGATAGGTGTTAGCTCTTCTCTAAATGTTTGATAGAATTCCCCTGTGAAGCCATCTGGTCCTGGAATTTTGTTTGTTGGAAGATTTTTAATCATAGTTCCAATTTCACTGCTTTTGATTGTTCTATTCATATTTTCTATTTCTTCCTGTTTCAGTCTCAGAAGGTTGTGTTCACTTCTTCCAGGTTGTCCATTTTATTGGCATATAGTTGCTTGTAGTAATCTCTCATGATCCTTTGTATTTCTGCAGTGTCAGTTGTTACTTCTCCTTTTTCATTTCTAATTCTATTGATTTAAATATTCTTCCTTTTTTCCTTGATGATTATGGCTATTGGTTTATCAATTTTGTTTATGTTCTCAAAGAACCACCTTTTAGTTTT